AGAAGGGCAAGTAAGCACATATGAGACAAAGGAAAATCAGGCCAAACTCATCCTTTTAATCAAGCACCCTCCCTCAGTAACAGCATTAACCCACTCATGGAGGCAGGGCCCTTATGACCTAATCACCTCTTAACAGTATTACAATGGCAATTAAATTTCAACGTGATTATTGGAGGGGACAGTCAAATCATAGCAGAAATCTACGAGGTTGGGAATTCGTGGTGCTAACCATTCACAGGATTAGACTTTGGGTTTGGCTTTCAGAAATCCGAGCCTGGTGGCTATCAGAGATAAGAGTTTCTTTCAAGGTACTCTAGAAAATTTTAAGTCGCTATAAAGGTGAGAATTTAAAGCTCTGTGCTGACCAGTTTGCTTCTCCAAGTTCTTCAGCAACAACCTACCCTAGTATATTTATTTTTGACTAAAATTTTCTAAAGTAGCAAATATTGTATTTGGTTACCCAGAGTCTTGCCTTCTATGGGTGCTTGATTAAAGGTGATAATTTGAGTAACTGTTTTGCTACTTTGTCCCATGGACTACAAGCACCATATCACAGAAAGGAGGGTTATCAGTACCTTTAAATATAATCAGATTAGAAAACTACAGAAAACTCAGGACCAATTCAGAGCGCTCATTCTTAAGATTTTGTTGTTCCAGAACCACCTTCAGTACCAAATTCCACATCAGTCAGGGTTGAACCAGAGGCAGAACGAGTAGGAAATATATATATAGCCATGTACCACATAAGTATATTTTGGGAGTGCATATACAGTGGCGGTCCTGTAAGATTATATTGACTCATGACACTGTACCTGCCATAGTTTGTGTGAGAATACTCTATGATGTTCACACAATGATGAAATCACCTAGTGATGCATTTATCAGAATGCAGTTGTGATTGTTGTGACATGTCAACTCGACTTGAGTACGACTGCCTAGCAGATTAGTACAGTTCCAGTGTGTCTGGGGATGATTGACATGTAGGCTGAAAACTAAGGGAAGACCAAGCCCAGATATGAGAGACACCATGCAAAAAGCTTGTCGACCGGATGGAATAAAAAGAGAAAGAAGGAGGAAGTCTTTTTCTTCTTTGGAGGAAACCTGGCCTTCTCCGTTGCTTTTGATTGTTCATCTCCAGTTCCCTTCAACCTTCCATTGCAGACTTTTCTGCCTTCCAACCCAGACACTTCAGCTTTCTGACACAGACTTGCACCGGATTTTGCAGTAAGCTCCAGGCCTTCAACCTTTGACTGGAACCTCCAGTGTGCAGATGGTCATTTGCATTTTCTACCCCTGGTCCTGCAAGTGGCCATTATAAGGCTACCTAGTAAGTCCTTTATATAATAATATGTATTATAATATTAAATCTGTTTCTCCAGTGAATCCTGATACAGTTGCCCCAGTATTAACTAACTTATGACTGTATGTATGTGTATACTAATTCTATACATATGTATATTATACTGATTCATGGAGTTAAGCAGCCCAGAAATCAAAGAGGCTCGGAGAGGATCCAGGGAAAGGTAGAGCAATCACAGGCTCTTCGTACCAACAAGGTGAGTCAGTAGATCAGCAACAGAATGTGTGTGCTTCCCTCTTGCCTTCCAGTCTTTCAAGAAATCCCTTTGTGGCCCACCCTTACCAAAAACATGCAAAAAAGGAAGTTCATCCTAGCCAAAGTGACCCATTACAAGGCTATTACATTCTCCAATGACTATATGTCTCTTCAGATCACCCTTTTGTTCTTGAATTAGCTTGAGTAAATTCTGTTTTTCCTGATGAAATAGTTCATTCACCTAGTTTTAAAAATTATTGGCATTAAGAAGACTATAAGTAGACCCATATCTCTCACGACACACTAAACTAAAATCAAAATGTATCAAAGATCTAAATATTAAAACAGAAACACTAAGTCTTCTGGAAGAGAGAATACACAGAACTCTTGAGGACGCAGAGGTAGGCAAAGACTTCATGAACAAAACCCAGACTGCATGGGGAATAATACAAAGAGTCAACAACTGGGATCTTACCCTATTAAAAAGCTTTTGCATTTCAAAAGAAATCACCAACAAAGTGAAGAGACAACCCACAGAGTGGGAAAAGAATTCTAGCCAGTAGTTCCTCACACAAAGGACTAATATCTAGAACATACAAAGAACTGGAAAAAATCAGACCCCCTGCCCCAAATTTAAAGACCCAATCCCAAACTGGGCACCTAAAGTGAATAGATACTTCTCAGATGAAGTACAAACAAAAAAATAAATATATGAAAAAGTGTTCAACATCACTGGTCATTTGAGAGATGCAAATTAAAACATCATTGGGATTCCATCTCACTTCACAAAAAATGGCTGCTATCAAGAAATCAACCAATAACAAATGCTGGTGGGGATATGGGGAAAAGGAAACCCTTCTCCACTGTTGGTGGGAGTGCAGACTGGTGTAACCACTATGGATATCAGTGTGGACATTCCTCAAAAACCTAGAATTTAGAGATTCCCATTTGACCTGGCTATTTCTCTTCTGGATATCTATCTTCCCAAAAGAATTAAAAGCATCATACCACAGTGATATATGCATACCCATTTATAGTGATACAATTGATAATAGCTAAATCTTGGAAATAGCCCAAATGCCTATTAACTGATGAAGGGATAAAAAAGATGTGGTTTCCTAGACAATAGAATATTACTCAGACATAAAGATAAACTTGAAACATTTATAGCTAAATGGATGCACCTTGAAGCTATACTCAAGTGAAATAGATTTGGACACATGTGTAAATATCATATTGTCTCTCTGATGTAAGAAATTGAAAGTGTAAATAGGGTCCAAAATGTATAATAGACAACATGAAATAAGAAAAATTGTTCAAAAGGAAGGGGGAAATAGAGGGAGGAGGAAAGGAAGAAAAATTAAAGAGAAAAGAAGGAAAAAAATGGAAATGGGGCTTTGTAAATAAGGAGGGAAAGAGGAGTTGAAGGGAGGGGAGGGGAATAGGGAAAAAAGAGGAATCAAAATACATCATGTACAGATACACATACCCTACGATGAATGTGATCATTTTGTATATCTAAATTGTACCGATAAAATTTAAATTAAAAAATAAAAATTATTGGCATCTTGTGGCACTCCATAAATACATGCATTTTTGTTTTATATAGTAGTTTAAATTTTAATTTTAAAAATTAAAAATAAAAGTTATTGATATAAAGCTATTCACAGAATTCTTATGAATTATTTTATCAGCATTTTCTGATATATCTATAGTTATATTCCTTTTGTACTCACCCATTAGTATGGTCATCTTTTATATTGGTTTTTAACTTAATAGCATTATGATCAAAGAATATATTAGTTTTGTTTCTGATTATTTGGCATTGGAGATTTATGGTCAGTTTTTCCAAATGCGTATTCTCTAAAATTGACTGCAGAGTTGTTTGTGTGTATATCTATGCACAGGCACACATCTATATACAAACAGTATACAAATACATATCTACACACCATAATTACGCTGTCCCATCTTCTATACACTAATTTTTTATTTCCACAATTACTGACATTGTTGTATTAAAAATATCCTTTTAGCAATTTAGTCTAGTAGTTACAATTTTTGCATTTAAAAATTTAAAGCCTTGTTATTAGGTGTATTTATAATTTTAAGTCTTCCTGGTAAATCATTCCTTTTTGTGTTTAGTAATGATCTTTTGGAGCTGGAGATTAACTTGGTGGTAGGTGTTATGGCTTGTATTTAGATGTCCCCTCAAAGCCTCATGTGGTCATAGGTAGGGAAGGTGGCTAGATCTAGAGTGTTGCTAGAATTGATTTATGGTGCAATACTAGGCTCGAGGGCACTAGGATTAAGGGTGTGAGTGCTACCTGCCCTAAGTAGTCTGGATAAGATAAAGGGGGCAGGAAAACGGTGTTAAGGCCCCTTTGTTGCTGTGCTACCATCTGTCCACCATGAACTGTTTCTCCTCCGCCACACAACCCTGCCTTGGAGCCAGCTGATTATTGGCTGAAACTTCTACAAAGAGTGAACTCAATAAACATCTCCCCCTTTAACTTTGGGTGTCAGGTATTTTGTCTCAGCAACGAGAGAAAGTAGCTAAGACAGTAGAGAATATTCACCTAGGGTGCACAGAGCCCTGGGGTTGAATACCCAGGACTGCAAGGGCCGGGGGATAGAGGAAATATAGCAAAGTACAGTAATGATCTTGTGTGTGTACGTGCACATGCATGTGTGTGTATGTTCGTGTGTGTGTGTGCATGTTTTGCAGTACCAGAGACTGAGCAGAGGGAGTGTTGAGCTATACCCCTCCTGCCTTGTTTTTAATTTTGTTTTGAGGCAGCATCTCATTAAGTCACTAAGTTGCTCAGGCTGGGATTGAATTTGTGATCTTCTTGCCTCAGCCTCCCAAGTAGCTGGGATTAGAGGTGTGCACCACTGCACCTGGTGAGTAATGATCTTTTTGATTCCTAATGACATATTTGCCTTAAAATCTATCCTGTCTGATGTTAATATTGCTATGAATTTCATTGTGCTCTTTTTCTACTCCACTAGGGGTTTCTTTTAATTTTCTGTAAGCTCAGTTATACACTTAAAAAACATATTTGTTATGTTTAAGCCATTATGTCTGGTGTGTGTAGCAGTTAAGTTTGCAGGTTGGTTTCTAGATCCTGAAGTTCTAAAACTTAAAAAAATGAAACCTATACTCACCTTTAAACAAAAATATCTTACTATGCTTGATATTAAATCAGAATAACATAATAATTATATGATATTTGTATAATCAAGGCCTCACCTTGTCAGTGATGTTAAACCATATTAATTAGAGGATTTGATCTGAACATATTGACTTTGATCTCTAATAGACATGAAAAAATAGGTCTTTTTCCCATAGTTTCCCATAAGAATCTGATACAACCCCCTTCCCTGAAATCTGGTTTCCCCACTTGAGGATCACTGGTTTATGGAATCTCAAAAATGGATTACATTTTAAAGATGCAAGTAGTTTATTTTATTAACAGTTTGGTATTCTTCTTCCTATCCCTCAGTCACTTCCAGATGTTGCACTTCATAGTTTTCTTTGGTCCTCTGTGGCTTCCTTTCAGTATGTTTCCAATCTTCATGGGTCTCCCAATTCAGTGGCATCCAAGAAACCAACACTAGGCTCAAGCGCAGTTTCTGCCTGGCAATGGATGAGTCCTAACACTGGAGGTGAATCCTACCAGCTGATATTTAACCTTATCTTACCAAATCAGGCTGGCCACTCTGTACATCTGCTTGTGGCATTAGTAGGGTGTCTACTTTTATCTATTACTATGAATTTCAAGGGTCCTGGGAAAGACTGTGATTTGAGTTCTGCTGTTGATAAGGAACCTGAGGGGATGCTTTCATTAGTATCGAGAATGCTTGGTGTTTGATTTGTTCAACTGGTCATACTTATGCACTACATAGAAAGCCTTTAAAAATTCATTGAAGTCAATGCTCCCATCCTTGTTCAAGTCCATTGTGTTGGCAAGCTCATCAATTTGAGAATCTTCAACTTGAACATTGTAGTGAGAACTGAAAAGTTTCCATATGGTCCGAAATTCTTCCATGGAGATCTGGCCTAAAAGAATATAAGAGAAGGTAATGAGTGTTAACTTCAAGATCCACCAAAAAGAGGGGTGGGAGTCATATTAATTGAATAGTTCCAATGAGAAGCTCATTAACATGCCCAACCATCAAGGCAATGAAGGAAATAGAAGAGTAAGATCATAAATGTATGAAACAACATGCCACTTTCAACTACAAAGTGATCCCGAGATTATTCTAAAGCCAGAATAAGTAAACAGGGATAGAATGTGGACTGTGGAACTAAATGTAGTATAGAATTATAAGAACTGAAATCTAAGAATGAGGGACATGGAAGGATGGCAAAGCAGAGTGACACACCCTGGGAGTCAGTAAGAGGATTGCAAACAATGGTGTTGCCTTTTTTTTATAGGGATAATTTACTGATTTGTGTGTGTGTGTGTGTGCATGTGTGTGTGCACACGTGTGCATGTGTGTTCAAAGGTGTCTGTGGTAGGGGAGTTTCTGATTTGTGTCTGTGTGATACTGGGTATTGAACTAAAGGACTCATGGATGTTAAGCAAGCACATCAAAGTTAAATAAAAAATGAGTTTTCATAGCTCTCCGTCCCCAAAACTGAAGCAGCATTGTACAAATGGTTTTTATTTCAGAGTAACTAAGATATTAAAGTGGAAAATGAATTATCTGTGCTGGTGATTTATAAGAGGCTACCCCAGTTTGACCAGTGGCTACACAGGATTCTATAGAACGCTATTGTCTTGAATACAGAGTTTGTGGGTGGCCAAACTAAAGTAAAACTGATGTCAAACATACATTCATTTTTCTCTTAGAGTTTCATCAAGTTTGGATGAAAATAAAATAGATAAAAAGAGTTCTCATTTTGGAGAAACAGACTGGATTTGCTTTCTACTACTACTGAACCAATCAAAGTTCATTTACCTGAGTGATCAGAATCAATGATATTAAATATCATCTGCAGGTCAGATCGATATCTGTATAGAGTTTCAATTAAAGCAGATTCAGCCTAAAATAAAGATTTTCTAAGTGTTAAAACATATAGAATTGATGACACCTTAACTTTAGCAAATGCAGCAAATAAAAAACATCATTACCAATTCAAAGTATGTGATTTAGATAGAAATTGGAGAAGGCAAGCCTTCTATTGGCCCAATCATCTTTAATTAAATAAAAGACCTGCTTTTGTGTTCCTTACAGACCAAAATGAATAAGGCAGTCCTAACAATTGCCAACTTTTACAGCAAGCTTTGTGTAGATTAATTCACTCAGTCCTCTATAACCCTAATGGGAGCAGAACTCCATATTATATCCATTTTACAGATTAGAAATCAGAAAAATAACTTTTCTTAGTAACTTTCCCTAAGGTCACCTAGCTATTCAGTTTCCTGAAGCCAAGGCCTATGATCTTAGTTACATGGAAAACTGCCTCTGAAGTGAGGTCAAAATCCTCCTTCCTATGGACATTTTAGATTCCCCAACCAGCACTTCTATCTCCCTACTCTCTGTTCTTGTCATCTTCCCTGCAATCACCCAAGTTCTGACTTCAATGAGGCCAATGACGTAACTAGTTACTGATGAACTGGTAACTAATAATGCTGCTATCTGATAACTCTCCCTGGGATGTTCTCATTTTAATAAGGGATGTTACATCTTCAAATTCTTTTTTTTTAATTTATTTATTTTATTTGTTGGTACTGGGGATCGAACTCAGGACCTCGTGTGTTCAAAGCCACTGAGCTACATCCCCTGGCTTAAATTCTTAAGACATATTCTGGGTCATGTCAGCAAGCCTATATGTTGTTAGGAAAAATATTAAGTATTTTAAATGGTGTGCTGCATGAAAGAATGGATGTCATGTCTGGCTTCTGTTGGATAGCATTTAAAATTAGAATCTTACATTTGACATGGATTTATTTGATGAAGATTTTTCTTCTTTTCCCTTTTTGCCTAAGTTTAGAATACACAAATTTCTTGAACAGATCATAGTGTCCTTGGGAATTCCTTTTTGGCCTTTCCTAAGATTGCCACTCCCATCCATTACATGATTTTTACTCCCAACTTACTTTTTGAAGGACTAAGTTACTTTGAGGTTGTACAAAGGGTGTTACTTGCCTCTTTCACTGGTTTTTCAATGCGGATATCCTGGAAGCTGGACATATAGTAAACATATCCATCTTTGTCTCTCTTTACCAGATGAAAACTCAGAGTTCTCCATGGTAAATTCAGCCCCAGAATGCTCTCCATAGAAAGAGCCCACTGGGTCACTGAAAGTTTTCCTAAGAACAACAACAACACAACCTGTATAATTTGCTTATAATTTGGAAAAATAAAAAGATGCAAACTCCTTGGTAAAGCCAGTGGGAAGCTTGGGGTTTTGAGGCCTGGGGGCCTGCTATTCTCCTTCACAATCTATCCCACCAAGCCCCAGAGCCCAGGGGGAGAAATAACTAGACATAAACTTTTATATTCCACAGATCTTGCCCTTACTATCATGCTTAAGAAATATCACTTTGGGTATTTTATTTTTTTTCTTTTTTCTGATTAGCAAAGTAAGGTATGCTTATTAACAAATATCTTTATCTTTTTCTCTCTATATATAAGTAAGTGTTTACATAAGTACATACATAATTTCTTTTTCTTAAAATCAAATATATTGTATTCTAGTATATGTTTTACATGCATGTATTACATGTGGCAAACATGTATACACATACATACAAATATTTAACGTTTTAAAAATCATGGCCATCCATCTATATTAAAGAACATAGATCTCATCATTGTTTAATGGTCATAGAACTATTCTATTACTTCCTTAAGATTGTTTGTAACAATGGAATTACAAGATCAAGGGGTATACAGGTTTTTTTTTCTGTACTGAGGACTGAATTGAGTTACATCCTCAGACTTCCTTTTTTAAACTTTTAAATTTTAAAACAAGGTCTCCCTAAGTCACTGCATTGCCCAGGCTGGGCTTGAACTTGTGATCCTCTTGACTCAGCTTCCCAAAGAGCTGGGGTTACAAGTGTGCACTACCACACCTCACTATGGTATATAGATTTTTCAGCCTCTTAGTATACACAGTTGTCTCTTGGTTCCATAATCTCCTATGGATACAAAAATCCAAGAATACTCAAGTCTCTTATAAAAAATGATGTAGCATTTAAATACATGTAACCTACACAAGGCCTCCTGCATACTTAATCACTGAATTACTTACTATATCAAACACAATGTAAATGGTATAGTGTATTGTTTAGGGAATAATGACAACAGAAAGCACTTGTACATGTTCAGAAGAGACTCAGTTTTATTTTACATATTTCAAATATTCGTCACAATATTTTGTCTTAATTGTGTGTGGAAAATGCAGTGGCATCCACCTTTCTAGTGAGTTTCATGGGCACCCCAGGGGATGGCTCCAGCCTGTCTAGGCCCAGCCCAATAGCTGGACGCATCAATGAACTCCTGCCCCATCCAGTGGACCACAGCCATTTCCTCACCAGTGAATTTCAACCTTGGTTAGAAGTAGGGGACTCTTCTCAGTTTGTTCCTTCTTTGAGTACTCACTCTCTCAGCCTTAGAAGTAGTGAGTTCCTCCTTGTACTTACTATTCCTGTATTTTTTAGGTTTCTTTTATCCCTTTTAGTAATCATCCTTTACTAGTTAATAATTCTTTATATTTAATTTCCTTGTTGAAATTACTGATGTGGCTTCTGTATCCTAAATAGGCACTGAATGATACACTAGTATATGAAAATACAATCAATTTATGTGTGCTGACCTTGTGTTTGACACGTTACTAAACTCATTTATTAGTTCTAGTAGCTTTTCCGTGGATTACATTGGATTTTCTATATATTCAATCATGTTGTCTACACAGTGATATTTTAAAATTCTTATTTGTTTAATTTGTCTATTTGTCTTATTGGACTGGCTGACATCCCTAGTATAATGCTGAATGGATATCTTTCTTTCTTTTCTTTTTTTTTTTTTTTTTTTTTTTTTGGACCGGGGATTGAACTCAGGATGTTGCACTTGCGAGGCAGGCAGCAACACCACTGAGCTAAATCCCGAGCCCCTGAGTGGATGTCTTGATGGTGGGCACATCTTTATTAGTTTCCTATTGCTTCTGTCACAATTATCATGGGCTTACTGGCCTACATAACACAAATATAGTCTCTTCCAGTTCTGGAGATAAGAAGTCTAAAATCAGTCTCATTGGGCAAAAGTCAAGGTTCAGCAGGGCTGGTTCTGGAGGCTCTGAGGGGAAGATCTGTTTCCTTGTTTTTTTTTCAGCCTCTGGTTGACTATAATTCCTTGGCTTAGGGCCCCTTCTTCCACCTTCACTATCTGCTTTTATAATCACATCTTCCTCTCCAAGTTCTCCTACAATCCTCCTAAAAGGACTGTAATTATATCAGGTCCACTGGACAACACAGAAGAATTTGCCCTGGCCAAGATTCTTAAGTTAATCAAATCTGCAAGGTCCTCTTTGCCATATAAAGCAATATCCCCAGATTCAGGCTGTTAGGATGTGGACATATTGGGGGTAGAACATTATTCTGTCTATGATGGCATCTTTTCATTTCCAATCTGTCTCCATTAAGTAGGTTATTTGTCACAGGCTTTCAAAGTTAGAGACATTATGAGATTAAGAAAGTTCACTTTTTTTCTTAGTTTTCTCCCTTCCTTCTTCTTTCCTTCCATTTTTTTCCTTGTGCTAGGCAAATGTTCTACCACTAAGCCAGACCACCCCCCAGCCCTTCTAAATGTTTTCTAAACCCATGAAACCAGGGTGAAATACATCAAATAATTGTTCTCTTATTTTGAGAGAATTATATGACTTGTTCAATTTTGTTAAAATGGTGAATTATACCACTTGATTTTGGAATGTTAAAACAATCTAGAATTCTTAGCATTCCTATAAAAAGCCAAATATGGTTGTGATATATTAATCTTTGGCTAATGTTTCATTTAGGATTGTTTTCATCTAAATTTATCAATGAAATTAGTCCTTAATTTTCCTTTTTCATAATATTCTTTTTAGGTTTTGATATTAAGGTTATGCTATTTTCCTAAAATAATATGGAAAGTGTTCTGTAAACAATTTGTGCAGAGTTTTAAGAAAAGTTTGCTAATATTTTGTCTGTCTGTTCTTTTAGTTCCTGAAAGAGAAGTATTAAAGTCTCCCACTATTCTGGGGGTAACGGCACATACTTATAATCCCAGCCGGCCCAAGATGGGGTTGGGATATGTTGGTGTTAACCATTAAGATTGCCTCAGTTACCTGGGGGGGGCAAAGGCAGGAGGATCACAAGTTCAAGGCCAGCCTAGACAACTTAGCAAAGCCCTGTATCAAAATAAAATTTGTTTTAAAGGGCTGGAGACATAGCTCAGTGATAGAGCTGCTTACCTAGCAAGTACGAGGCCCTGGATTCAACTCCCAATACTGCAAAAGAAAAAACAAGTCCCACTCTGCTGGTGGGTTTTTCTACTTCTATTCTGCCAGGTTTTGTTTACGGATTTTGAGGTTTAAATAATAGATGCATACACATTTAAAATGGATTCAATTAGCAAATCAAATATTTTATAATTATGAAGTATCCCTTTTTAACTCTAGTGATGCATATTTGCTTAAGAGTCTACTTTGCGTGATATCGATGGAGTGATTCCAGCTTTGTTTTTGACAGTGTTTTCATGGTATTTGTCTGAATTCAACTTTCAGTGTTTCATGTATCTGATTCCACCATATCCTAGATCCTTTTGCAGCTGCTGTATCTCTCTAGCAATATGTGTCTTCTCTGCCTACTTCTAAGATTTTCTTTGCTATAGGTGCTCTGTAGTTTCACCAAGGTATATGTAAGTGTGGATTTAATTTTATTTATCCTGCTTGAGAATCACTGTTCCTCTTTACCTATCACTTTGAGTATTTCATAGGGTCTAGAAAACTCTCAGGCATTATATTAAATATACCCATTCTTACATTCTCTCCTCCTGGTAGCATGATTATATATGTATGTTAAATCTTCTCATTTTACTGTTTGTAACTCTTAATCTCTCTAGTTCTTTTTGTTTCTAAATGTACTATCAGAGTAGAATTCTATTAATTCAAGGTTGTTGTTAGTCTTCTAAGTTGAAATAAGCATATTGAAAAGAAGATATATGTCTACTTCTGAGTGAAAAATGGATTTTAACTTTCTTTTCTTTTTTGTGACACTGGTAACTGAACCCAGGGCCTTTGTACTGATTGAGCTACATCCCCAGCCTGCTTCATATCTTTAAATTTTGAGACAGAGACTTGCTAAATTGTTAAATTGCCAGGAAAAAGCTCTAACTTGCAATCCTCCCACCTCAATCTTCCAGAGTGCTGGGATTACCAGGCATGGGGCACCACACCCAGCTCAACAGTTTTCTTTCTACCATTCCTTCCTAGCAAAAATGGAGAAGTGAAATCCTAATAAAGCAAAGAAAATGATCTGTATGTAACCTGATATGTTAAAAAACAGAAAGCATCATATAATTTGATTACCTGATTTACTGTAGTCTCGAAGTTGGAAAGCATGAATGAGGTCAGTTTTTCGTGAAATCATTTTCTCTTTTAATATCCTGATGGCACTACTTTCCATAGCACTCACCCTATGTTAAGAAAACAACAGGCGAAAGTTATATAAATCATCCTGTCTTTTTCATTTTAATGTGCTATGTTACCACCTACCAGTTTCCAGTTTAAGTGAATTGTCTACATTTACCCATAACATATTATGGGTGGTGAATGTGTATGTACATGTATGTATGTGTGTGTGTGTGTGTGTGTGTGTGCATTTTGTGAAATTTTAAAAGGACTGTAGATAGTATTTTCTTTTTGGATATCTAAAATTCACAAGAACAATTATTTGAAAAAAAAATAAAAAGGGTCAATATTTGGTCTATACCAAATATTGAAATTTACCATTATGTTACTGAAACAAAATCACAAGCATAAACAGAAGACATATATAGTACTAGAACATAACAAAAATTTCATAAATATATACAACTATGTATGGAACTTATATATGACAACAGAAGTATTACAATTTGGTAGAAAAGGATGATTTAAAAGAATAGTTCTAGTACAGTTAGCTATCTGGACTTAAACTTCTACTTCAAACCAGTTACAAAAATTAATTTGAAATAAAAGAGAAACAGAAAAAACAAAATACTTATAAAATATACAGTTGTCCCTTGGTATCCATGAGAGACTGGTTCTAGAATCCCCCCTTGGATACAAAAATCCATAGATGTTCAAGTCCCTTATATAAAATGGCACAGAATTTGCATATAACCTATGCACACTTTCCTGTATGCTTCAACTCATCTCTAGATTACTTACACTACTTAATGTAAATGCCATGTAAATTATTGTTAGACTGTGTTGTTTAGGGAGTGATAAGAAAAAAGTCTGCACATGTTCAGAACAGAAAATGTTTTTTAATGTTTTCAATGCAAAACTCACATATCGAATGGCTAATGGTATATCAAAAAAAGAAAAAGAATGGAGATGTAAATCCAATCATCTCAACAATAGCATAATATATGAATAGATTACTAAAATAAAATGTTAGAGATTTGAGACTGGATAAAAGCAAAACAAGATATAACCATGCATTGTATGTAGGAGACACAGTTTTGTTTCAAAGATTCAAAGAGTTTGAAAAAGAAGAAAGAGAGAAAGAAAGAAAGAAAGAAAGAAAGAAAGAAAGAAAGAAAGAAAGAAAGAAAGAAAGAGACAGACAGACCAGATAAGCAGCAACCATAAGAGAACTACAGTGGCCACATTAATAAGTAGACAAAATGGACTTTAGGACAAAAACTGTTACTACAGATGAAGGATATTTCATAGTGACAAAACAGTAAGTAAATGAAGAAAACAATTCTAAACATATAAACCTGACAACAGAGCACAAAACTACATGAAGCAAAACCTGACATAATTTAAGAAAGAAATAGACAACTTAATAATGATAGCTAAAGACCTATACTCTACTTTAAATAATGACTAGAACAGACAGATGGAAAATCAACAAGGACATAGAACTTGAACAGGCTCTTTAAGCCAACACCACCCAACAACAGCAGAATGTACAGCCTTTTAAAGAAAATGTGGAACATTTTCCACAATAGACCCTGTGCAAAGCCATAAGTCTTAACATTTAAAAGGGTCAAAATCATACAAAGTATCTTTTCTGACCACAAAATAAACAAATTAGAAATTAACAACAGAAACAAATTTATGGAATTCATAAGTACGAGGAAACTGAACAACACAATTCTAAAGAACAAATGGGTCAAAGGAAAAAAATCACAAGAGAAATTAGAAAACTCATGAAGATGAATGAAGAGAAAAATATGACAAACCAAAACATATGGTATGCAACTAAAGTAGTGCTTAGAGGAAAATTTATAGCTAAAGTATCTACTATAGGCATAAATAATTATAAATTTAGCTGTAAATACCTATACTAAAATACCTATATGACAATTATATACAGATAATTATATTAGATATTAATACCTATTTCTGTAAATACTTCTATAAGTGAGTTTACCTGTATTTATACTTATAAATACCTATACTAAACAAAAGAATGATATCATTAAAATTAATAATGTAATCTTCAACATGAGAACGGGGGCGGGGGGAGTAAACCAAATCCAGTGTAAGAAGAAATAAGGGAATGATAGAGAATAGAACTGAAAGAAATAAAATAGAAAAATACGGGAGATCCAACATGGTTGGATGGAGGAGGAGTCACATCTGAGAGACTCGAGAAGATCAATTAAAACCACAGGTAATTGGAATAAGGGAGGGACATACATTCTGAGGCCAAAAAAAATTGACTTGTAGATTGAACAAAACATACACATAAGAGTTAAAAAGAGAAGCATCCTGACAGGGCTAGTCAGCAGGGCCTCCACCATTGCACACCCCGGGAACACGCATTTTGAGAACCTCCCAAATAGCTGGCAGGATCCAAGGAGTGCGGGGGCAGAGTCTACCCTCTCAGGATACACTTGCAGGTATATGAGCCCCTTCATCCCATGGTCTCCTCTTCCGACACGGAGGAGGCTGCAGCTCAGCAGCATTTTTGCAGGCACACACCAAGGGCAAGTGATCAGGAATGGGACCCCCCACCCATTTCAGACTCCAAAGGATAAATAAGAGATTGCTGCTTGTGTTGCGAGTCTTCAATCTTAGGCCCCGGCGTACCTGAGCTAATGATGGGAACCTGCACGTTATTCCATGCCATCCCGCACACAGAGCTAACACTTGTCAGGTTTGAGTTCATATCAGGCACCTTAGGCTCACTTGAGTCTACATCCAGCTCTCACTACTCTGCTCCAGTCCTGGACCTGCCAGAGACTGATGGCTCCAATCCATGTGAGTCTCCACCTGGAACACTTGGACTGTGGCGGTGTCTGCTGGGAACCAGGCACACTGCCCCCACTCTGGGCAGTCTCCTCCACCCTGCATTACGCCAGAGTCCCACGCACAGTCCCTGCCTGGCACAATAGGCCAGTCCCCTGTCTGGTTAGCAGCAAGGGTTAAGGGTCTGGCTGTTTAGCCCAGTGCTTCAGACTCCTATGAGATGCCACCCAGTGCCCTGTGCCCTCACGGAGACTGCTGTCTTCTGATATCAGTCCTGGGAGCACCTGCACCTCCTCTGGGCAGCCTGAGGTAACATAAGTCTACCTGGAGTCTAGAGCTGGATCCACAGACACCAGAATATACATCAGGTACCCAGCGTTGGCCCCTAACAGTGCCAGGAACTTCAGAATGTAGGAGCCTTCAATGGTCCAAACCTTCCCTGGGCAGTTGTGACAGATTGGACTGTTGCCACAAACAGGGGTATACAGACAGGGGAACCAGTGAGCTGAGAAACCTCCACAAACACCCACAGATGATAGAGGGACAAACAGAAATGTGACTTGTAAGATTAAAGCCTGCTGGTTTTGGAAGAAAACACTCTTTTGAAAATATGTAGGAATATTGTTTCTTTTGCTTTTTTTTCTTCTCTCTTAATTTAAGCCAATATTTTTCTTTTCTCCTCTACTGGTATCTTTATCTTTATTATTGTCATTGTTATTATTATTTTTTTACTATTGATGGGACTTACAATTGTATCGCCCATTTTCTCTTTATTTAATTGAGTTTATTGGTACATTTTAGGTATACAGTAGAGTTATATTCATCATTGGGATCTTGTACCTTTACATGACAGGTCTTGGTTCTCATTTATTTCCCTTGTCCCTGCCCTCCCTTCACCCCCTCCCTCCCCTCCCCATTTACAAACATTTTATTTCCATTTTTTCATTTTCTCATATTTTTTTCTTTTCCCTTATTACCTTTCCCCTACCCTTCCCACTTTCCCTACAACTTTAGCCCTTTTCTTCCTATTTCACATGGTCAATTATCTCATTAGGATCTTATGTATTATTATAGTTTTTCATACCAGAGAAACTATTTGGTATTTACACACGTGTGACTTATTTATTTCACTTAGTATATCCTCAATATGTATCCATTTTCCTATGAATGGATCTAATTTCTGATTCTTTATGGCTGAGTAGTATTCCATTTTATAGAAAAACCACATCTTCTTTATCCAGTTTCCAATTGATGGACAAATAGGCTGTTTCCAAGTTTTAGCTATTACAAACTGTGCTGCTATAAACATGGGTGTGCATACTTCTCTGTGATATGATTCTTTTAGTTCTTTTGGAAAGATACCCAGCACAGGGATGATGGCTGGGTCAAATTGAGGTATCTCCATATTGATTTCCATAGTGGTTGTACCAGTCTGTACTCCCACCAACAATGGAGAAGGGTTCCTTTCTCCCCACAACCCTGCCAACATTTGTTATTGTGTGATTTCTTGATAACAGCCATTCTTTGTGGGGTGAGGTAGAATCTCACGGTTGTTTTCATTTGCATCTCGGGAATGATCAGTGATGTGGAACATTTTTTCATATATTTACTTGCTGCTTTTACTTCTTTGTCTTGTCTGAGAAATGTCTGTTCATTTTACATGCCCATTTTTGAATCAGGTCTTTATATTTGGGGAGGCTGATTGTTTTGAGTTCTTTATATATTCTAGATAATAGTCCTTTGAGGAGCAGCAGGTAAATTTTTTTCCAACATTATAGTTGTCTTTTAGCTCTGTTGATGGTTTCTTTTGCAGTGCAGAAGCTTTTTAATAAGATGAGATCCCAATTGTTGATTCTTTCTGCTAGTTCTCATGCTACTAAGGATTTCTTCATAAAGTCTTTTCCTATGCCAAGGTTTTCTAGAGTTCTGCCTAATTTATCTTCCAGCAAGTTTAGTGTTTCTGTTTTAATATTTAGATCTTTAATTCACTTGGATTTTAAGTTAGTGCATGGTGAGAGATAAGGGTCTAGATTTAATCTTTGGCAAGTTGAGATCCAATTTCTCCAACACCATTTACTAAAGAGACTATCTTTCCTGCAGTGGGGACAGTCAGCTCTTTTGTCAAAGATGACGTAGCTGAGTACATCTGGATTTGTTTTTGTGTCTTCCAATCTGTCCCACTGATCCTCAGGGCTGTTTCTTCCAGTAACACAATGTTTTTTATCAT